ACATGGGGTATCTTTTTTTGGTGGGTTCCAGCACCCTCCTGTCAATGGTTGTTCAATAGCTAGTTGCGATTTTGGTGCTCTTGCAGGAGAAGATGAGTACATGTCCTACTCCACCAACTTGAACAGGGTTCCCTTTTCTTTACATCCTCGCCAGCATTTCTCATTTATGTACTTTTTGATGATAGCCATTCTGACAAATCAAATGTGGTTTTGATTTGCATTTCCCTGATGGCTAATGATGTTTAGCATCTTTTCATGTGTGTATGTTGGCCATCTGCATTTCCTCTCTGGAAAATTATCTATTCATATCTTCTGTCCATTTTTAAAATTAGGTTGTGTGAGTTTTGGTTTTTTTTTTTTTGATGTTGAGTTGTATGAACTCTTTTATATATGTGGGATATTAACCCCTTATCAGTCATGTCACTTGTAAATATTTTCTGACATTCAGTAAGCTGTCTTTTAGTATTGTCAGTGATTTCCTATACTGTGCAAAAGCTTTTACATTTAATTAGGTTCCATTTGTTTATTTTTGCTTTTATTTCCTTTGCTCTTGGAGATAGCTCCAAAAAAATACTGCTACAATTTATGTCAAAGAGTGTTCTGCCTATGTTTTCTTCTAGGAGTTTTATGGTATCTGGTCTTATTTAGGTATTTAGGTTTAATCCATTTTCAATTTATTTTTGTATATGATATAAGAATATTCTAATTTCATTCTTTTACATGTGGCTGTCCAGTTTTTCCAGCACCACTTATTGAAGAGACTGCCTTTTCTCCTTTGTGTATTCTTCCTCCTTTGTCATAGATTAATTGACAGTAAGTACACAGGTTTATTTCTGTGTTCTCTATTCTATTCTCCATTGATCTATGTATCTGTTTTTGAGACAGTGCCATACTGTTTTATTTTTAAATTTTATTATTTGTCTATTTATTTATTTTGGCTGTGCTCATTGCTGCACATGGACTTCCTCTAGTTGTGGCGAGCAGGGTTTGCTCTCTAGTTTGTGGTGCATGGGCTTTTCATTGCAGTGTCTTCTCTTGTGGCAGAGCGTGGGCTCTAGAGTGTGGGCTTAGAAGTTGTGGTGCATGGGCTTAGTTGCCCCACAGCAGGTGGAGTCTTCCTGGACCAGGGATCAAATGCATGTCCCCTGCATTGGCAGGCAGATTCCTAACCACTGGACCACAAAGGACGTACAGTACCATACTGTTTTGATGACTGTATCTTTGTAGTATAGTCTGAAGTTGGGGGTGTGATTCTTCCAGCTTTGTTCTTCTTAAGATTGTTTTGGCTATTTGGGATCTTTTGTGTCTCCATTCAAATTTTAAAATTATTTGTTCTATAAAATTCTTTTGTTCTATTTCTGTGAAAAATGCCATAAGTATTTTGATAGGAATAGTACTTGAATCTATAGATTGCCTTGGGTAATGTGGTCATTTTAGCAGTATTAATTCTTCCAATCCAAGAACACAGTGTATCTTTCCATCAGTTTGTGTTGTCTTCAATTTCTTTTATCAGTCTTACAGTTTTCTGAGTAGAGAGATACAAATAAACCCTTCTTAGTAGATTTATCCCTAGGTATTTTATTCTTTTTAATACAGTGGTAAATGGGAATGTTTTTAATTTCTCTTTCTGATAGTTCATTGTTACCATTTAGAAATGCAGCAGATTTCTGTATATTAATTTTGTATCCTTCAGCTTTACTGAATTCATTGATGATCTTTTGTAATTTTCTGGTGGCATCTTTAAGATTTTCTATGTCTAGTATTATGTCATCTGCAAACAGTGACAGTTTTACTTCTTCCTTTCCAATTTGAATTCCTTTTATTTCTTTTTCTTCTCTGCCATGGCTAGGATTTCCAAAACTATGTTGAATAAAAGTAGTGAGACTGGGCATCCTTGTCTTGTTCCTGATCTTAGAGTAAATGCTTTCAGCTTTTCACCATGGAGTATGATGTTAGCTGTAGATTTGTCATAATGGCCTTTATATGTTTATGCTATTGCCAGGTATCTAGTATTGGATTTGTTTCTCTGGAGAACTAATATAGTGTATTACACCATAAACAATTTTCCAAGTCATTAAATATTCTATAATCTTATAGTATTTGCATAGATTTCAATTGTATGGGTATCCTCTATTGTAAGAAATTTAGATTATTTTCATTTTCATATTACAAATAATGCTGAAGTGTATACAACTTGTGTAGATGCACATCCCTGACTATTTCTTTAGAATAATTCCACAAATGAAATTAAAGTCAGAGTATTAACAAATATAAAAGTTTTAAAGCATGTTGCCAAATAACTCTCCAAAAGGGTTATAGCCATTTATATACCTCCCTAATTAACCTACAAGGGTATTTGATTCTCTACTTTCATTAATATTAGATGTTATATTTTTAACTTGCCAAATTTGGTTTTTTTATGGATTTTTTTCATTTGTATTTTGTTGATTTACAGTGAAATTGAACATTATGCTCACTGACAATTTGTTTCTGTCCTTTGCTAATTTTTCTGTTGGAGTGTTTCTTCTATCTAATTGATTCATGGCAATTCTTGCTATATTAAGAACTTCAGTTATTTGTATTCACTGAAATTTTTCAGACTCATAGATTTTTTTCAGAACCATACATTTTTAATTTATATATTCTTGACATAAAACATTGTGTAAGTTTATGGTTTACAACAAGTTGATCTGATGTATTTGGATATTGTAGTATGATTACCACTGTAGAGTTAGCTAACATGTCTATATCATGGTACATAATTATCATTTCTGTATTGTGGTGAGAACAATTAAGATCTAGTCTCTCAGACACTTAGAAATTTATAATACAATACTGTTGACTATAATCACTATGCTGTGCACTAGATTTCCAAGATTTATTTATCTACTAGTTACAAGTTTATACTCAGACATTTCTCCAGTTTCCCTATCTCCCAGCCTCTGATAACCACCATTCTGCTCTCTGTTGCTGCAAGTTTAGCTTTTTCTTTTTGTAAAAAAGTTTTAAAATGAAGTATATACAGTGTTGTGCTAATTTCTGTTATGTACCAAAGGAATTCAGTCCATAGGGTCACACAGAGTCGGACGCAAATGAAGCAATTTAGCATGCATGCACACAGCATATGTGTGTGTGTGTGTGTGTTTATATATATTTATGTATATATGGCTTGTAGCCCGTCAGTCTCCTCTGTCCATGGGATTCTCTAGGCAAGAATACTGGAGTGGGTTGCTGTGCTCTCCTCCAGTGGGTCTTCCCAACCCAGGGGTTGAACCCAAGTCTCTTATGTCTCCTACACTGGCAGGTAGGTTCTTTACCACTAGCACCACTTGGGAAGCCTATACATGTGTATGTGTATATATATATACATACATACATTTATATACATATTTATATTAGTTTTTTTTCCCCACTATGGTTTATCTCAGGGTGTTGATTATAGTTCCCTGTGCTATACAGTAGGACCTTGTTTCTCCATCCTATGTGTAATAGTTTGCCTCTGCAAACCCCAGACTCCCAGTCCATTCCCCCCCGCCAACTTCCCATCTTCTCCTTGGCAACCGCAGTCTCTTCTCTATGTCTGTGAAGACTCTTACAGTTTTAACAGCAATTGATTATTTCATTCTGAATTTATCTTAGTAGATGTAAATCAAAAACTGTCATAGTCATATGATATTCATTTAGTTTAATGAGTAAGACGCAGGCACTGTACTCTGTGATGAAGACAGATATGAAAGATGTGCTCAGAGCTGAGCCTTTTAGACAAATGTGTAATTAACTTAGCTTTCCAATGAATAGTGATAATAGTTGCTAATACTGAAGCATAACTAAACCTTAAGGTTTAAAAACAAGCAATTTAAGTAGGATAGTATCTTTGAGGCTGTCATCTCCCTTTATTTATTTTTTTAATATTTAACATATTTTCCCTCTGTTTTCTCTTCCCACTATATAAAAATCTGTATCCCTTCTGCTTTTCTCTTTCTTTTCCTTTGATTATTCTGTTTCATTTTCCCCTCCTGTCATTTAACATATAAAAATACAAAATTAAAGTACATTTTAATCTGTTTATAATTGTTGTAAAACATTGTGAAAATTACTATTGAAGCATTTTGCTTGCAGTTTCTTTTTTTTGGCAGTTTCTATTTTTAAGAATAGATTAATTGGACCTATTGTATTATTAGGAATATATAAAGTAGCTAGTTGTTTGGAATTGGTTTTCCATTGTGCTCACATCCACCCCACCTTCCTACCAAGATATTATAGTAATGTTGTGATAAAAACTTGCATTTGAGCTTTTTTCCTAATTGCAGCAATGCAAGGAAATCTTTCTAATTTACACAGCACTTTCCATTCCAAAGTGTTATATAACTAACCATAATATTTTATCAAGACCTAGTTTTCTGTGAAAATATATGCAAGTACAGCAGTGGTACTAAGAATAACAGGTGTTGGATTTTTAATTCTCATAATCTGTATTCTTTGGTGTGGACAATTTACCCTTTCCTTTAGTCTTAACTAGAAACATATGTAAATACATTTCTCTTTCCAGCCAGATTCTTGCCCCCAAGGTCTTCCTACAGAGAATTCATTATCTTTGTTCAGCGGTCATTGTACATTTCTACAACACAAATACACAAAAGAATGATCTTATGAAAATGATAGATTGGAGGGATGGTTCACAAAGGACCTCTTCGGTTTACAAAGGATTTGCTTCACGGTTTTCTAAAAGAGCATGTTTTCTTTAGTATGTTCCAAATGATTTTAACTTTTCAGAAATTCATCTTCTAGGTAAATAAAATTATCTTTTTTTCTCCCCTTTGTCTGACATAGATGAGAATATCTTGATACTGAACCTCACAGCTCTAAGTCTGCCTCCATTATAACAGCAAGATTTCAGGCCGTGGAAGAAGTGACCCCAGTTAGGAGATCAGGAGCTACCCTCACTAAGGCCACATCTCTCTACTTCAGATACTTCACATCTCTAAAGTAGGGAAACGAATATGTCGCTTACTTTGAATAAAAGAGACGATATGGAGCATGGGTTTATATCATTTAGTAAGGGAGAAGATAAGGAGGACAAGTTTGAAGATGCCTATGAAATTATCCCTGCAGCAGCAACAATGGATCTAGTATCTTCCTTGGAAGAATGCACAACGGGATTGTATTTATTTCTAAATAACAGATTCTCTGATGCCATACATCTCATTTATCCATGGTCAAAAAACAGCATATACCATGCTCTAATCTATAGCATCCTTATGGTTGTCAAGGCCTTCTTAACTTTTGATCCACAGGATATAGAGATTGGGATGACTGCCACAAAGGAAGCTTTGAGAGTCTGTAACAATTTCCGAAGAAAATCTAGGGTGTTAAGTTTTTCTCGTCTAGTTAGCAAGCAGGGAATAAAGGCTATTAAAGAAGAGGAATTGCATGCAGAAGTCTGCTATGCTGAGTGTTTGATGTTGAAATCCACTGTAACATTTATACAGGATGACAGTATGTTTAGTTTTCTTAAAAGTGGGATCAACATTGGGTTAAGTTACCAAATATACAAAGACTGTCAACAAGTATTAACACAGATACCTGATTACCAAAGCAAAACCTACAGACACCTGGTTGGAGGCATAAAATTTGGACTTGGAATACTCAACTTGTTATTATCACTTGTGCCACCAAGGACACTTAAAATACTCAATGTTGTTGGATATTCTGGCGATAGAGAGGTAGGCTTGACTTTGCTTCATGAGAGTGCATCTGAATCCCATATAAATAATATATTTAGTGTTTTGGTTCTATTGTTTAATTACACTTATCTCTCCATAGCTTTTGGTGTTGAAAAGAACGATAGTTCTGCTGTGGAGAATCTCTTCCTAATCTACCTTCAGAAATTTCCAAACTGTGTCATACTTAAATTTTTTCATGCACGTTTTAGTATGCTGAAAGGGTATTTTAAACATGCCCAGTTAACGTTAGAGGAGTGCATTTTTATTCAGAACGAATGGAAGCAGGTTCAACACCTCTGTTACTGGGAACTCATGTGGTGCCACATTTTTCTGCTGGAATGGAAGCAGGCTTACCACTATGCCCATGTGCTGGTTCAAAACAGCAGGTGGTCCAAATCAGTATATTCTTTTGCCAAAGCTTCCCTACTGGCTGTGCTTCCTCCTGATTTTGCGAAATCAGTAAGTGAGGACATGAACTCTCTCTTCCTAAGCGTGGATAGCCTGAGAATCAGAATTTTAGGAACTTCTGTGCCGATAGAAAAATTTGTTGCTGAGAAGGGTCAGCGCTATGCGACAACTGCAGGCTGGTTTACAGCACAGCCCATCCTGGAATTTATGTATGCCTGGAGTGGCTTCCGAGTCATAAGCAAGGAACTAGAGCTTATTTCAGCCTGGCTATCAATCATTGACAAAGGAGAAGAACTTTTACAAGAAACTCCAAATAAAGAGTATGTCATAGATGACATAAGTTTATTAAATTTACTGAAAGGTCTGTGTCTGAAATACTTAGGAAAATATTCAATGGCTGAGTACTACTTTAGTCATGTCATTCAAATGGAGAAATTGTTAAAATATGACCACTATTTGGTGCCATATTCTTACTATGAACTGGGAATTCTATACTATCTAAAAGGAGATTATGCCAGTGCAACAAAAACCCTAGAAAACATAAAAAATTACAAAGACTATTCCATGGAAGCCAGATTACAGTTTAGGGCTCACATAGCCCTTGAACAAATAGCTAAAGAAAAAGTGATTTAAACACAATTGTGGTTTTGTTTTTTTTATGAGTGAAGTGTCTACTATCATTTTGATAATTAACATGTAGAAAAATAATTTCTTTATGGAAGAAATCCAAGAAGAGGCAACTGCTAAGAGTCTGACTAGTAACGAGGAAGAAAGGAATTGGCCATTACTTTTTCCTCTTCCCTCCACCATATCTATAAAATGGAATGTTTTAGACTGGCAAATGGAGTGATGCATATTCTTGAAAAAGAAAAGGTAAATGATGTACATTTTATTTTTATTTTTTTATTCATTTTATTTTTTAAATTTTAATTGGAGGTTAATTACTTTACAGTATTATAGTGGTTTTTGCCATACATTGACATGAATCAGCCATGAGTGTACATGTGTCTCCCATCCTGAACCCCTCTCCCACCTCCTTCCCCATCCCATCCCTCAGGGTCATCCCAGTGCACCAGCCCTGAGTGTCCTGTCTCATGCATTGAACCTTGACTGGCGATCTATTTCACATATGGTAATACACATGTTTCAATGCTATTCTCTCAAATCATCCCACCCTCACCTTCTCCCACAGAGTCCAAAAGTCTGTTCTTTACATCTGTGTCTCTTTTGCTGTCTCGCATATAGGGTCATCATTACCATCTTTCTAAATTCCATATATATGCATTAATATACTGTATTGGTGTTATTTCTGATTCACTTCACTCTGTATAATAGGCTCCAGTTTTATCCCCCTCATTAGAACTGATCCAAATGTGATCTTTTTAATAGCCGAGTAATATTCCATTGTGTATATGTACCACAGCTTTCTTATCCAATTGTTTACCAAAGGACATCTAGGTTGCTTTCATGTTCTAGCTATTGTAAACAGTGCTGTGATGAACATTGGGGTACATGTGTCTCTTTCAATTCTGGTTTCCTCTGTGTGTATACCCAGTAGTGGGATTGCTGGGTCACATGGCAGTTCTATTTCCAGTTTTTTAAGGAATCTCCACACTGTTCTCCATAGTGGCTGTACTAGTTTGCATTCCCACCAACAGTGTAAGAGGGTCCCCTTTTCTCCACACCCTCTCCAACATTTATTGTTTGTAGACTTTTTTATAGCAGCAATTCTGACCGGCATGAGATGTTACCTCATTGTGGTTTTGATTTGCATTTCTCTGATACTGAGTGATATTGAGCATCTTTTCATGTGTTTGTTAGCCATCTGTATGTCTTCTTTGGAGAAATGTCTGTTTAGTTCTTTGGCCCATTTTTTGATTGGGTTGTTTATTTTTCTGGAATTGAGCTGCAGGAGGTGCTTGTATATTTTTGAGATTAATTCTTTGTCAGTTGCTTTGTTTGCTATTATTTTCTCCCATTGTGAAGGCTGTCTTTTCACCTTGCTTATAGTTTCCTGCATTGTGCAAAAGCTTTTAAGTTTAATTAGGTCCCATTTGTTTATTTTTGCTTTTATTTCCGTTACTTGGGGAATCCTGCTGTGATTTATGTCAGAGAGCGTTTTGCTGATGTTTTCCTCTAGGAGTTTTATAGTTTCTGGTCTTACATTTAGATCTTTAATCCATTTTGAGTTTATTTTTGTGTATGGTGTTAGAAAGTTCTAGTTTCATTCTTTCACAGGTGGTTGACCAGTTTTCCCAGCACCACTTGTTAAAAGAGATTGTCTTTTCTCCATTGTATATTCTTGCCTTCTTTGTAAAGATACGGTGTCCATAGGTGCATGGATTTATCTCTGGGCCTTCTATTTCATTCCATTGATCTATGTTTCTGTCTTTGTGCCAGTACCATACTGTCTTGATGACTTTGCTTTGTAGCATAGCCTGAAGTCAGGCAGGTTTCCTCCAGTTCCATTCTTCTTTCTCAAGATTGCTTTGGCTCTTCGAGGTTTTTGGTAATTCCATACAAATTGTGCAATTATTTGTTCTAATTCTCTGAAAAATACCGTTGGTAGCTTGATAGGGATTGCATTGAATCTATAGATTGCTTTGGATAGTATACTCATTCTCACTATATTGATTCTTCCAATCCATGAACATGGTATATTTCTCCATCTAGTTGTGTCCTCTTTGATTTCTTTCATCAGTGTTTTATAGTTTTCTATATATAGGTCTTTTGTTTCTTTAGTAGATTTATTCCTAAGTATTTTATTCTTTTGGTTGCAATGGTGAATAGAATTGTTTCCTTAATTTCTCTTTCTGTTTTCTCATTGTGAGTGTATAGGAATACACTAATTTCTTTGTATTAATTTTATATCCTGCAACTTTACTGTATTCATTGATTAGCTCTAGTAATTTCCTGGTGGAGTCTTTAGGGTTTTCTATGTAGAGGATCATGTCATCTGCAAACAGTGAGTTTTACTTCTTTTTTTCCAATCTGGATTCCTTTTATTTCTTTCTCTGCTCTGATTGCTGTGGCCAAAACTTCCAAAACTATGTTGAATAGCAATGGTGAAAGTGGGCACCCTTGTCTTGTTCCTGACTTTAGGGGAAATGCTTTCAATTTTTCACCATTGAGGATAATGTTTGCTGTGGGTTTATCATATATGGCTTTTATTATGTTGAGGTATGTCCCTTCTGTGCCTACTTTCTGGAGGGTTTTTATCAAAAATTGGTGTTGAATTTTGTCAAAGGCTTTCTCTGCACCTATTGAGATAATCATGTGGTTTTTATCTTTTAATTTGTAAATGTGGTGTATCACATTGGTTGATTGGTGAATATTGAAGAATCCTTGCATCCCAGGGATAAAGCCCACTTCTTCATGATGTATGATATTTTTAATATGTTGTTGGATTCTGTTTGCTAGAATTTTGTTGAGGATTTTTGCATCTGTGTTCATTTGTGATATTGGCCTGTAGTTTTCTTTTTTTGTGGCATCTTTGTCTGGTTTTGGCATTAGGGTGATGGTGGCCTCATAGAATGAGTTTGGAAGTTGACCTTCCTCTGCAATTTTCTGGAAGAGTTTGAGTAGGATAGGTGTTAGCTCTTCTCTAAATTTTTGGTAGAATTCAGCTGTGAAGCTGTCTGGTCCTGGGCTTTTGTTTGTTGGAAGATTTCTGATTACTGTTTCAATTTCTGTGCTTGTGATGTGTCTGTTAAGATTTTCTATTTCTTCCTGGTCTAGTTCTGGAAAGTTATACTTTTCTAAGAATTTGTCCATTTCTTCCAAGTTGTCTGTTTTATTGGCATATAGTTGCTGATAGTAGTCTCTTATGATCCTTTGTATTTCTGTGTTGTCGTAATTTCTCCATTTTCATTCTTAATTTTGTTGATTTGATTCTTCTCCCTTTGTTTCTTAATGAGTTTGGCTAATGGTTTTTCTATTTTATTTATCTTCTCAAAGAACCAGCTTTTAGCTTTGTTGATTTTTGCTATGGTCTCTTTTGTTTCTTTTGCTCTTATTTCTGCCCTAACTTTTGTGATTTCTTTCCTTCCACTAACCCTGGGGTTCTTCATTTCTTCCTTTTCTAGTTGCTTTAGGTGTAGAGTTAGGTTATTTATTTGATTTCTCTCCCGTTTCTTGAGGTAGGCTTGTATTGCTATGAACCTTCCCCTTAGCACTGCTTTTACTGAATCCCATAGGTTTTGGGTTGTTGTGTTTTCATTTTCATTCATTTCTAAGCATATTTTGATTTCTTCTGTGATTTGTTGGTTATTCAGAAGTGTGTTGTTTAGCCTCCATATGTTTGTATTTTTAATAGTTTTTTTCCTGTAATTGACATCTAATCTTACGGCATTGTGATCAGAAAAGATGCTTGAGATGATTTCAAGTTTCTTGCATTTACTAAGGCTAGATTTATGGCCCAGGATATGATCTATCCTGGAGAACGTTCCATGTGCACTTGAGAAAAAGGTGAAATTCATTGTTTTAGGGTGAAATGTCACATAGATATCAATTAGGTCTAACCCGTCCATTGTATCATTTAAAGTTTGTGTTTCCTTGCTAATTTTCTGTTTAGTTGATCTATCTATAGATGTGAGTGGGATATTAAAGTCTCCCACTATTATTGTGTTACTGTTAATTTCCCCTTTCATATTTGTTAGCATTTGCCTTACATATTGTGGTGCTCCTATGTTGGGTGCGTATATATTTATAATTGTTATATCTTCTTCTTTGATGGATCCTTTGATCATTATGTAGTGTCCTTTGTCTCTTTTCATGGCCTTTATTTCAAAGTTTTATTTTATCTGATATGAGTATTGCCACACCTGCTTTCTTTTGGTCTCCATTTGCATGAAATATCTTTATCCAGCCCTTCACTTTCAGTCTGTATGTGTCCCTAGGTTTGAGGTGGGTCTCTTGTAGGCATCATATATAGGGGTCTTGTTTTTGTATCCATTCAGTCAGTCTTTGTCTTTTGGTTGGGGCATTCAACCCATTTACATTTAAGGTAGTTATTGATAAATATGGTCCCATTGCCATTTGCTTTGTTGTTTTGGGGTCACGTTCGTACGACCTTTCTGTGTTTCCTGTCTAGAAAAGATCCTTTAGCATTTGTTGGAGAGCTGGTTTGGTGGTGCTGAATTCTCTGAGCTTTTGCTTGTCGGTAAAGCTTTTGAATTCTCCTTCATATTTGAATGAGATCCTTGCTCAGTACAGTAATCTGGGTTGTAGGTTTTTCTCTTTCATCATTTTAAGTGTGTCCTGCCATTCCCTTCTGGCTTGAAGAGTTACTGTTGAAAGATAAGCTGTTATCCTTGTGGGTTATTTTATTGTTTTTCCCTTGCTGCTTTTAATATTTGTTCTTTGTGTTTGATCTTTGTTAATTTGATTAATATGTGTCTTGGGTGTTTTGCCTTGGGTTTATCCTGTTTGGGACTCTCTGGGTTTCTTGGACTTGGGTGATTATTTCCTTCCCCATTTTAGGGAAGTTTTCAACTATTATCTCCTCAAGTATTTTCTCATGGCCTTTCTTTTTGTCTTCTTCTTCTGGGATTCCTATGATTCGAATGTTGGGGCATTTACCATTGTCCCAGAGGTCTCTGAGGTTGTCCTCATTTTTTTTTAATTCTTTTTTC